CATTAGAACTAAAGCAGTCACTCTTCTCAAGGCATAATAAAGTCAATAGATATTGTCTTCAACTCAACTCAACTCATAGCACAAGGATTCCTACTATTCTACAAAACCAAAACTAACTACATCCGGTTCAAACAAAAACCTTGGAAAAGAACCGCGGCACAGAGAAAAACCAAGGGGGAATTAATACACTACCTAAAAAGAAAATCTTTCTGTCTATTTTTTTCTTCAACTTTACTCCCTTAAGAAACTCGTCAAATGATATCCATTGTCGGAAAAAGTCAAAAAAATTTAAAATGTTATGTTTTTTTTCGATTATCTCTACCTACTGCAGCTAGCAAAAACAAAGCAAGCTACAACTACTAAGAAGAAAACTCATATGCATGTACATACAACCCACACATATCCCCCACCCCACACTTTAAATGGTGTCATGTCCCCATGTCACACAAAGAAATATACAAAGGTGAAGAAAACTCCCCTGATCAAGTCAATCCGTGTCGGGGACAAGGCCGAGGTCTAGGTGGCAGGCCTAGCCAAGTGCACGCAGGCATGCCATGATCTTTCTATCTGATTTGGCATTTTGTGTAGCAAGGGCGTCCACTCGAGCTCCTAAGTTTGTGACCGATGTACACATTCCTTCCATCTCCTACTCTAAGGCGCTCATTCTTGTAGCAAGGGCTCTCATTTCTACCATAGTGTCCTCTATCTGCTCCATTGTAAGGAAACTTTCTACTCAAAAACCCGAAATCTCTTAGTGCCAAGTTAAGGAATTATATTTTCCAGAAAAGTGCATTTCTGCAGTCCATTAGTGGTCACATAATAGATATGCGGACCGCATAGTCTCCGCAGAGTCAGATAGTTTGTTGGTTAATTTGAGGTCAACTATGCGGCCATTTATGCGATCGCATAATCAATATGTAGGCCGCATAGTCATCGCATAATCCCCTTTGAATTTTTGTGAGGGACAGTTCTGCAGTGCATTATGCGACCGCAGAACAGGTATGCAGACCGCATTTATATAGCATACCCAGACAGTTTGTTCAGGTTTTGGGACCATTATTGCAGTCCATTTTGTGGGCCGTGTGTCCATTATGCGATCACATATGCGATCACAGATTGTGTCAGGGCTCCTATTTTCTAACTTTTAAACCTGACCCCATCCCATTAAAAACTCCCATTAGACCTCTTTTATGTTATTTTTACAGCAAATAGAGTGAGAGAGGGAGCTCTAGAGGGAAAAACTAACTCTCAAAACTTGCAAAATCTTTGAAGACTTTCAAGCAAAATTTAATAGACTTTCACCCCATGAGGTAAGAACTTGAGCCCTAATCTCTGGTTTCGAAATTCACACTAGAATGAGTAATTAGCTTGTGGGTTCATGGGCATAAGAATAGATTTTCTTGCATGCATAGAAGATAATAGGGTATGGGGAGGTTATGAACTAAAAAGATAGCAATTGGGGTGTAAGGCGATGAAAATCTCTCACAAAAGGGTCCTAAAATCACAATGCACACTTAGTGCTTGATAATATACTTAAACGAGCTAGAATCTTGAGCATGTCTCTATTTCTTGATTAAATTTGTTATTTTCATATAATAGATTGAAGTTGCTAAGAATCCTGGAATTTCGTAAGAATTTAAGGAAAGCTCTATTGAGGTATGTATGGCTAAAAAACCCTCCTATTTGAAATTGAGCTTCGTTGGTATGTGTATGTGCAAATATGGTAAGACCGAAAACTTGATTGATGTATTGATTGTTATTTTACATGAATCGATTTTGAAATTTTATATATACATGAAAGGTGTGCCTCAATGTGTGCAAAGTACTATTCTAGATATTTAAAGATGTGCAAAGAATATGAACCATGTGTTGAAATTGCCTAGACTTCACGTCAAGAGTTAAAACTGAGATTGTCATGCTAATTATGTGAAATCTTACCTATGCTTACAACTTGAATTGCTTTTGTATGTGCCTATGATTATAAATTGCAAGGTTGACATTGAAAGTGGAAATGATGTGATAATTGTGGCCCTAAGCGCCAATGAATTGATATGATATATATGAAATAAAGATTCAAATGAGATGATTAGTAAAAAAGGAACAACGCCTAGGTAAGGCGGCCTAGCTGATCGGACCGTGATCGGACACCATGTCGCACACATGGTGGTAATGTGCTAATATTGAATTCCGGAAAAGGGAAATGAGATGGTGATTGAGGTATATGTCTCAAATGAGGCAATCTAGATGATCGGGTCGTGATCGGACTCCGCTCAAGATAGCGGTGGTATTGAGAACAATGATGAACATATGAAATGCCCCAAACTAAAGTTATGGAAATCATGTGAAAGTTGTATGATTCTTTGTTTGATGATGTGGTGTTCGGTTAAAGCTTTGATTGTCTCTTGTGATTTCCTTGAATTCTTGTCTGATAGCTTTCTAATAATATGGTGTTTAGTTATACATACTAGTACTATTCCATGGTACTAACGTCCATTTTGCCGGGGGTGCTACATTTTTAAATGAATGTAGGTAGCTCCGTAGCGGATAGTGCTGATCGCGCGTAGCGGAGTATCCCCCTCTCAAAGTCTTGGTTAGCCCTTTTCTCCTTCAAGGGGTTATGTTGTACATCTTTTGTTATAGATATCTACTTTTAAGGTATAGCCGGGGCCTTGTTGTCGGCGTTGTTATAATTGTCTTTTGTATCCTTAGAGGCTCCGTAGATGTTTGTGTGGGTTATGTACGGGTATTGGATGGGTCTATGATTTATGTTGTAAATGTAAACTCTTGTATCTCAAGATTGTAATTGTATGAGATCTTGGAAACTTAACTACGGTTTAAGGTTGTGATATAAAATGAACTAACAATGTTGAATGTACAATCTTTCCTATTGTCTAAGTAAACGAAATCATAGTTCCCTTAATCATATTGAGTTGGGTAGAAAGTGTTAAAAAGGCTTGCTAAGTTGGGATCACTCGATTGAGCATCGGTCATGCCTCCCGAGGTTGGGGCGTGACATCCATCATGGCAATGAGACAAAACGTTTGCCATCTCTCCTTCAGGCACACCTCTTCGAATCACACCATCTGCACACAGTTTAAACAAGAAAGGGTCATTCCAAAAATAACTTTTTACCTTACATTAAAGCTTCCGTCTTTGATCATGAGTGAGGTCACGAGGCAACCATCCACTAGCCAAAAAGTTGGTTACATCAACATACCAAGGCTGCCTTTCAGAGACCGCAACTATGGAGAAAATCTGCTCATCAGGGAACTCTTCCCTTATTTTGACTGTTTTAACTGGAGGTTTCTCTAGTCGAGATAGATGATCTGCCACTTGACTTTCTGTGCCCTTCCTGTCTTTTATCTCCAAGCCAAACTCTTGGAGCAACAACACCCACCGTATTAGATACGACTTGAACTCCTTCTTACTCAACAGGTATTTCAAAGCTGAGTGATTAGTGTGTACAATCACTTTACTCCCCAAAAGGTATGATCTAAACTTGTCAAAGCAAAGACCACAGCAAAAAATTCTTTCTCAGTAGCGGCATAATTGACTTGAGCGTCATTTAGTGTCTTTCTTGCATAGTAGATGGGCCTAAACATTCTATCTCTTCTTTGCCCCAGAATGCTCCCACAGCTACATCACTAGCATCACATATTATCTCGAATGGATGGCTCCAATCAGGTGTCACTATAATAGGGGCACTCACAAGCTTTTTCTTTATCAATTCGAATGCTCTTAAGCACTCCACATTGAAAACAAACTTGGCATCTTTCGCTAGCAATGCTATCAACAACTTGGTAATGCTATAAAAGTGTTTGATAAACCTCCTATAGAACCCAGTATATCCTAAGAAACTTCGTATGCTCTTCACAGAAGTTGTTGGAGGGAGCCTATCAATTCTATCAACCTTAGCTCTGTCAACATCAATTCCATGTGTTGTTACTTTGTGGTCTAGGATAATTCCCTCATTTACCATGAAGTGACACTTCTCCCAGTTAAGAACCAAGTGAGTGGCTTCACAACGTTCAAGCACGAGCTTCAAATTCATCAAGAAATCCTCAAAGTCATCACCAAAAAGGGTGAAATCATCCATGAACACCTCTAGACACTTCCCGTTCAAATTGGAGAATATAGACATCATGCACCTCTGAAAAGTGGCAGGTGCATTACACAACCCAAACAACATCCTCCTGTAAGCAAAAATACCTGACGGGCAAGTGAATGGTCTTCTCAACATCTTCTGGGCAATGTCTATAAGATTGTAGCCTGAGTACCCATCCAAGAAGCAGTAACATCCATGTCCATCCACTTTCTCGAGCATTTGATCAATAAAAGGGAGTGGAAAGTGGCCCTTCCTTGTTGCATCATTCAGCCTTCTATAATCAATGCACATTCTCCACACAGTGCCTGTTCTTGGGGGATCAACTCATTGTCTTCATTTTTCACCACTGTCATGCCTTCCTTCTTAGATACAACCTGAACTGGACTAATCCACTGGCTATCAGAGAAGGGGAAATCACTCCCGCATCTAGCAATTTGATGATCTCCTTGTGCACTACCTCCTCCAAGTTTTTGTTCAACTTACATTGAGGCTTCACCATTGGCTTGCTATTTTCTTCCAGCAGAATTTTATGCATGCAAATGGCTGGACTAATTCCTTAAAGATCAGCTACGCCCCAACCCAGCCTTCTTATGCTTTTTCAGCAGCTGCATTAGCTTTTGCTCATGTGTACCTGCCAAGTCAGTAGAAATAATCACAGAAAAATTGTTAGTTCCAAGAAAAGCATATTTCAAGTGAGTGGGAGGACTTTCAATTCCACATTGGTCTTAGAAGCCTCCTTTTTTTAGTTCCTCCTCATCAACCACTTGATCCTCAGTTTCAAGAGCTTCAACCAATTTTTTTATTTCAGGATCTTCATCCTCCTCCACTATGCTAGGTTGTGCAATACACCTCTCTGGAGTATCCCCCACAATCAAACTTGTAGGCGGATGCATCATCACTGAGGGAATTTCATCATCCTCTTCACCTGGAACACCACTTTTTCATTGTCCGCTCTGAGCATAAGTTTCCCCTCATAGATATCAAGGATAGCTCTATCTGTGCATAAAAATGGCCTCCCCAAAATTAGAGGCACCTCATTTTTCACCTCCATATCCACCACAATAAAGTTTACGGGGAACACAAACTTGTCAACCCACATAAGAATATCTTCGATGATTTCTTCAGGTAGAATAGTGGTCTGGTCAGCCAGTTGTAGGGATACTGGTATTGATTTTATCACTCCAATCTCACCTTCTAATTTCCTGAATACAGACAAAGGCATAGATTTATAGATACCCCAGAATTCATAGAGGGCCTTGTCGAACTTTTCACTTCTCAGCGAGCATGGTATGGTGAAGCTTCCTGGGTCCCCACACTTTTGGGGAATTTGTTTTGCAATATGGCACTGCAGTGGGAATTTAGCTTGACCACTGTTGTTTCCTCTAATTTTATCTTACTAGATAGAATTTCCTTTAAGAACTTTGCATAAGCAGGCATCTGAGTGAGTACCTCTATTAAGGGAATGTTCACATAAAGTTTCTGGAGCATCTCCAAGTATCGCCAAAAACATTTGTCAAGTTTCTCCCGCTTCATCTTTTGAGGGAATGGTAGAGCTGGCATATGTCTACTCTTCAATCTCCTTTTATACCTCACTACTCTGGCCTTTTTGCTCTTCACTCCTTTTGATGGTGTCCCAGTCTGCTTGTTAACCACCTCAGGTCTAGCCTCCACCACTGGGTCAGTCAATGTTGTGCCACTACTCAGAGATACAGCTTTGATTGTTTCCTAGGGGTTCTTTTTAGTGTCAAAGGGAAGAGTCCTAGGAGCCCTCTCAGACAACAAATTTGCAATCTATCCCATTTGTCTTTATAAATTTCGGATTATCATGCCCTGAGTCTTCAATTTTTCATCCGTTTTGTTGATGAATGCCTTCACAAGATCTTCCATATTTGACTGATTTGGCTGTGGTGGCTAGTATTGCCGCCTCTACTGGTTCTGAAAACCTGGTGGTCGTTCACCCTGGGTCTGAGATTATTTTGTTGCCATGAATTCAAGGTCCTATTAGGTACACTCCACTAAAAACCTGGATGTCTTTGACCCATAGCTAAAGTTGTTCCCACCTTGGTAGTTTCCTCTATTAAAGCTCCCATAGCATTGACTTCCTCAGTTGTAGCTTGACACTCATGTGTAAGGTGTCCCGGCCCACAGATGTCACATCCCACCTATGGTTGATTTTGCACCTGAGCCATCGTCAATTGCTTGATGTCCTTAGCCATAGCTACAATTTGGGCCTGCATTGCTACAGATGATTCTACTTGTTGCACCCTTGTTGATATTCTTTGATCCCATTGGTCTGTGGACCATTGTTCTGCATCTTTAGATAGTTCACTCAAAAGAGTGACAATCTCTTCCGGAGTTTTCTTCATTAGAGAACATGCGACTGCACTATTAAGTAATCTCCTTGACGGGTTTAACCTGTCCCAAAAGTCTTGAAGTTGCATCCATTGCTCCATTCCGTTGTGAGGGACCTCCACAATAGATTCTTAAATATTTCTCATGCCTCAAACACTGTTTGTACTTCACCTTGGATAAAATTGTGAATCTCCTTCCTCATCCTCCCAATCTTAGCAGGCAAGAAGTATTTTTCCAGAAACTTGGTAGTCATTTCCTCCCACATACGAATTGACCCTGTGGGCAGACTTCTCAACTACTATTTTACATCATCCTTAAGTCAGAAAGGGAATGCTCTGAGGAATATAGCATCATGTGATGCTCCATTGTAGTGGAATGTGTTCATAATTTCATCAAAGTCCATCAGATGGTTGTTGGGGTCTTCATTGGGTTTGCCTCCGAAAATGCAATTATTTTGAATGGTCTGGATGACTCCCTATTTGAGTTTAAAATTGTTGGCATCGATGGGTGGGGCCCTCAAACTAGACTGTTGTTGGTTGTACACTGGTCTAGAATAATCTCTCTGTGATCTCCCAGGCCTAGGAATTGCATTTCAAACTCATCCTCGATAATTCGGTTGGGATTGAGTCTTCGATCCCATCAACCGTTTCATCTGCAATTCTGCGGGCTGCTTCAGCCGCTTACCATGCTTCCTATTGCTGAGCCACCTCTCTAGTAGCTAGGTCTACTACCTCTTGGTTGTTCACTATTGTATCTTGAGTTGAAGGCTGACCCCACAAAAATTCACTCGTTCTTTTCTCTCTTTTCAACTGCCTCAGGTACTTTTCTAACTGGGTCGCATAGCACCAAGTTCTTTGAAGAGGATCGAGTCATACACAGCTGAACTTAACATGTTGCCTGCACACATATGAGAAGAGCATAAAAAAAGAAAATAAAATAAAGTTGTTCCTGAATTAGCATTGAAAATTAATTTAAACACTATTAATCGCCAATCTACAGTAACGACGCCAAAATTTGACGAGCACAAAACCGGTGTATAAAATGTAGGCTCGCTAGTCAAAGATATTATAGTATTAAATCATCTCCACATGGATTGATTTAAATAATATTTTAATAAATCTTCAGCTCTACACTATCCAGGATAATAAACCTTTGATTGATGTTATTATCGACTACAAATAAAAAAATAAGATTATCAATTGTAAGAAACTAATGACACTTTAATGATTAGTAGCAACGATTGAATATTAGGGTGAGAGGCAAGGGTTATGATAAAATAAGTGATCAACTATTGTTCCGGGTAACTCTGCGTTAAATTCATTCTTAACTTCTATTGACTCCTTTGATTTCAACAGATGATTAGGCTACTTTAGGGATCCAAGTTCTTCTTGTTACACCCTATTTTTCATATATAAGAGTACGTCTTAAGTCAATTGATGTAAGCTTAGAAATGAGATTATATTTGGAAGCATATAAAGTAAGTTAATCATGTTACCTTGGAGGTTACAAATATTTAAGATCACTACTAACAAGTACCAACAGAGTTGGAAAGCTTAGAAGCTAAACCAATTGAAGAAAATAAGTTTCGTCGAAAGTCAACAAGTTTGGAAAGCTAGAACATGTACTTTAGGGCGAGGCTAGGGTTCTTAACATGATAAGGAGGTTATGTTATGAATTATTTTAGTCGTATGATAATCGTGTGCTACGTTTTGAAGTCAAGCAAGTTGTGGAACAAAAAATGGCAAAGGTCATCACAAGTTACATTCATAATGTGATGAAAATTAGGTCAAATGTAGCTGATCTTTTCTCCCAATATACTTAAAATTAAGTGATGATCTGCATACCAAAGTGAAGTTCTACGAGTCTAGTTTCCAACTCATTAAACTGTTTCTCGATACAACGTTGGAGTAGAGATATTTTCGCATTTTAGCGAGACTGTGAAAACAGCTCCTATGGGACCCACTTAGGCGGTGCTCGACCTACTTCACTTTAAAAATGATTTGGACGCCTACTTTCTGCTCATTTTTTAGTCAACTTCGTTTCCAAACATCTCCTAACACTTATAAACATATACCACAAGTTTTTGAAGTGGTTCCAAAGTGATTACACCATATTTCAACATCAAAAGCTAATTCTAGTGAAGAACAACACCTCTTTGAGGTTGTGTTGTCATTAAGGATAGTTGTGGGTTGTGTTTGACTGAGATTTCATGTTGTTGCTACTGGATAAGGTGAGTATAAAATCCTACTAACTATTCTTAAGCTTGCTTGTATGTTGGTTAAGTTGTTAGGGTGATAAACTACAAGATAATACTTGGATTAGCTTAAGTCACTTCTATGGTGTTGTATTGCCATTGAGGGTTGTTGTAAGCTAAATGTAAATTGGAATTTAACTTGAAGCTATTGTAGGAGGTACATATATTGTATTCTTGCATGTTCTTAAGGTTATCTTGATGTTCATTAAGTTAAATGGATGGACTAGACATGAACTAGTGAATAAAGTTGCTAATTGAGGATAGTTGGAGTTGTGGATTATTTTTTTTATTATAAATATATTGTATGAGGATGGAGTCATTGAATAATGGCTTCATTATCATGTTAATGATACTTTTAAGTGAAATTAAGAAGTCTATAAGGGGTGATATGGGTATATAGATTCCAATCGGAACTTGCCGCTCGTCGTGAAGTAGTTGTGACTTGTTGTTGCTATATGGTGTCTTTTTATTGATATTTATATGTTTCTGGATTTCTATGGTTGTTGTTTTTGGTATATGGTATTGGAGGAGGCCCTATTACAGGGGAGATGCTGCCCAAATTTACATAAACGAGCTACTAGTTTAAGTTGTAGACTTAGTATTTACTAATCACTGATTTTGAATCTCTTTATGCTATGGTAGATTGGGTTGAGTTGTTTGAAGAATTTCGTGGAAGGTATTAAGGACTAAACGGAGTTAACGTATATTAAGGATATCCTTTATTTCCTTTTGGCATGATCCATATGATACAAACAAAGCGAGCAAACGTGCAATTATTACAAATGACTCTATTCATAGAAGTACTAGGGATGCCTATGTTCTTGATTTCCCATATGTTCTACTATCATATCGTCTATTCATGGGTCTCAAAAAATATTTAAGTTGATAAAGATTATTTCATGATATTAACTGAAGGCATATTGATCATATGATATTCCGAGATCTTACTGACTTACTTCCTTATGCATTGCATTCATTTATACATGTACATTGACCCATAACCAGATAGCGTTATATACTCATATATTATATGTATATGGGGTATGGGGAAAGGTTACGATGTTATATATGTACCACCACCTGATCAGTTGGTATGCATTGATGATTTTGCCCACAAAGGCTGAGATGATATGATGGGATGCCCTCAGAGACTTGATGATGTTATGTACACATATACCTATGCATGATGTGACATTTATATGCATATGCATGACATTATAAATGCTTCATGATTCATAGAGTTATTCAAACTTACAGGTTGAGTATTTTGCTCCATATTTCTTTCATGTCTTTTATATGCTAATTTTCACTCCTTACATACTCGGTACTTTATTTGTACTGAAGCCCTTTTGCTTGGGGACACTACATTTCATGCACGCAGATCTCGATAGATAGGTTGAGAGTCATTCCTGTAGGCTGTCAGCTCAGTGGAAGGTGTTTGTGGACTCCACTTGCTCCGGAGTTGCCTATTTGGTCAGTATGATTTGGACATATATTGATTTGTAGACATATGTCATGTATATGGATACTTGTATAGCTTTGTCGGCCGATGTTTTGAGTTTACAAATGATCATGTCGGCCTTATAGGCTCGTATGTCACATGTATAAGTTTCTATATCATGTTGGGTCGTCCTATGTCTAGTATTCCCTTATGTTTTATTTTGGTTATCTCATGACGTCCCTTTTGGCCCATTTACCCGTGATGGTATGAATAACAAGTACCAAGAGGGTTGGAAAACTTAGAAGCTAAACCAATTGAAGAAAATAAGTTTCGTTAAAAGTCAACAAGTTTGGAATATTATGACATGTACTTTGGGGTAAGACTAGGATTCTTAACATAATAAGGAGGTTATGTTATGAGTTATTTTAGTCGTATGATAGTCGTGTTCTATGTTTTGAAGTCAATCAAGTTGTGAAACAAAAGTTGGCAAAGGTCATCACAAGGTACATTCATAATGTAATGAAAATTAGGTCAAATATAGCTGAGCTTTTCTCCCGATATACTTAAAATTAAGCGATCATCAACATACCAAATTTAAGTTCTACGAGTCTAGTTTCTAACGCATTAAACTGTTTCTCGATATGACATCGTAGTAGAGATATTTTCGCATTTTAGCGAGACTGTGCAAACAGCTCCTATGGGACCCACTTAGGCGGTGCTCGACCTACTTCACTTTAAAAACGATTTGGACGCCTATTTTCTGCTCATTTTTTAGTCAACTTTGTTTCCAAACATCTCCTAACATGGTGGAAATCTCGGTATGTATCAATGGGAAATCGGCTAATTAGCAAATCATGGGATTTTTTACCTTTTACAGAATTATACCTAAAGTAGGACTCCCCTACTATATAAAGGGGGTCTGATTATTTGTAAAAGACATGTAACAATCATTCAGAAGCAATATACTGTCATTTCTCTTTAAATTATTATTCAACTATGATCGAAGCGCATCCTGTTTGAGGAGGACCTTCATCCCATGGTCGTTACTATCTAATCCGGGTGGTTTGAATTTATTTTATCATACATTATCTTAATTGCAATTTAATTTATCGCCTTGTGTTAATTTAATCCATGTATCCTTATAACAACTTACAAATTCAATTGTTATCCGATTTTAAGGGTAAACAATTTCATTTGTGATATTAAAAAAATATTTAAAAATACTACAATACTTGACCTAACTCCCTAGTCTGAATATGTCTTTGGTTAAATTCAAAAATTTAGAAAAGAAAAACTTTTGAGACAAAACTTAAAATACAAATAAAATATTACAACATAATTATGTGGTTTTAACTACGATATGAATGTGAAAATAAAACTATAATCTTCAAACAACAACAACAACA